CACCCCAAACCCCACCCCCACCTGGAAAAGAGAAAATAGGAGCCAGGTGGTGGTCGTGGTGCACACCTTTAATCCCAGCTCTTGAGAGTCAGAAGCAGGTGGGTCTCTGTGAGTTCAAGTCCAGCCTGGTCTACAGAGCGAAGTTCCGATACAGCCAGGATTACACAGTAAAACCCTGTATCAAACAAACAAAAAACCCAAAGAACCCATTCTTAGGGAAGATGTCACATGTGCTTTGTAGCCTGATGACCTCTGTAGTGTGGACCCGCAAAGGTCTATTTAATGATATATTAAGGGGTGTAATGGAAAAACAAACTCATGAATACAGAACAAAGCAGAAGCTGCCACTGATCCAGTTGCCATTGTCCAGTCTTTCTGCCCAAGGGTGAAGAGGACCAACCACTTCTCTGCTGCTTGCTCCGGCTCCAACCACACCAAGACAGAGGGGAGCACGACCCCCTCCTCAGATTTATCCGGTCATGTATTTAGAGTAAACCACGTGCATAGGGCTAGTCACCCCAAAAGTCATTGGCTAAACTGATCGAGTTCCCATAACAGACCTCTATGAAGACAGATCCCCTGGGCCCTTAAGTCTTATAACCTATTCTTACGGAAGAGGTCAATGTACTTTGCAAAAGAGTTTTGATGTAGTCATACCTTAAACATTATTGTGATAATTGTCACCAGGAAACTTTTTTCCACAATTGTACTGTACTTAAATATGTCAAAAATAAACTGCCAGTATCAGACTCACAGTTTGAACCAACACTGGCTACTGGGTCGTGTTAAACCAGACTTCCTTCTTGCCCCATGTGGGTCATTACTCTGAGGCCCGATTTTGCAGAGATCCCACAGAAAAACTTCTGGCTCTTCTTAAAAAGGGCAAACTTCAGCAAAGGAGAGACAGGTCATGTAGAAACAAGTGACTCAGAGAAAGCTGCAGTCAAAGAAGTCAGCTCAATGAAAAAAAAAATAAGACACTACAAAAGCCAACATGGGCCATCGAGACTTTCGTTTGGGGCTTTGAGACTCTCATGATGCTTTGGCACAGTGTTTCTAGTGAGCATGAGTGAGACGGATTGCAAAGTCTGCAGGCAGAGCTCAGCGGTAGAGCTCTTGTCTTACACGCAGGAAGCTCAGGGCATTATCTGCAGTCCTAGAAGTGGGGGCACAGACTCAACAAGGGATGGCCGAAGGTAATGAAATCCCAAGCATGGAATCCTCAACCATGACAAAAATATCTATGTTGCAAAGCTGGTACAGACACAGTTAAGAGTCACTAGTCCTGAAAGAATGACATGGACAGGGCATGAGCAGGGCTATGAAAAGATGACCAGTGACCAGCGGGGCTTTTTGTTGCCCATCTCATTGAGGTAATGCATGAGGCCAGCATAATGAGTGATCCCGGAGAGGTTTCAAACTCTTGAGAATGAGCCACGTTAAATTCCCACATATCTGGTAGACTCAGAGGATGGACAGACTCAAAGGTACATTGAGGTGGAGAACATCTTTGTGTCTGAGCACTGAGGGTCAGATACTCTGCTTTCATGTTGCCAAAAACAAAAACAAAAAAGCCAAGCTCACTTCTGAGCTTCAAATGAATCACAGGGGCTGCAGTGGCAGGATCTTTTAAATCAAATCTTAGAGACATGATAGGAGAATCTTATTTGTCCAGAATAAAGAAGACAAGTATCTGTATTAGATCCCATCTCTTCCCTGACTGGGCCAATCCCGAAGATCATTGGAATCGTTACCAGTCTTTGCCATGTGGAATCTTGCTGTTGTGAGTCCCTGAGGCCATCCTATACCATTCTGGTAACTCAGCTACTCTCTATAGCTGCTGTTCCTGCTGTCGTGCAGGGAGCTGACTGGCTTCTGTCCATTGTCTTTCTTAACTCTGGCCATTCACAGTTTCTGACTACTCGTGACTTTCATTGTCACAAAGGTTCTGATCATTGCCTTCCCTCTGGCTTTGTTCTTTGCACTTTATGAACTCTATTCAGCAAACTGCTGGCTTCCTTTGTGTTACCTACTCAGCTTTGTAAAAGAGAATACTGGTGTGTTTGCTTCACTCTGGCCACCTCTAATAAGCAGAGCCAGTACCCCAGATCATACATTTGTCGCTAAACTAAATTGTGGCTAGGGTTGGGGCTTTCAAATTTTCTCAAGCCCGTCTCACAAGGGGCTGTTTTTGTAGTTGACTCTGTGGACATGATAATGATAATTATGAAAATAACAGCTTCTACAGAATGGTAACCGTGGGCCAGAATTGTTTCAAGTACTTTATCAGTAGTCTCTTCAAACTTGTAAATGATATTCCCATTTCAAAGACAAGGAGGGTAAAGTGATTAGCATGGGACAATGTTCCCAGGATCATGTTATACCGTCTTGAAACCTCAGGATTTTAGTCCGTTAACTTAGCTTTTAACCACTGCATTTCTGATGCAAGTGAACTTCAAGAAATCTCTGTTGGAGCTTTTGTGTGTGGCAGAGAATGGGGGGTAGGAGAACACCAGACTCCAAGTCTATGTTGGCTGTGTCCAGTTGAAACTGGGGAGTGTTTTCCCAGCTGGGGACTGTCCCAGAGGAGGCCAAGGGCTTTTACTCCCCTGCAAGGAGTGTGGGGTGGGTAGATAGGCCTGTCTGCTACCTACCACTACTGCTAACAACATAGCTCAGAGGGCAAATGAGTATTTATTGAGCACTTACTATATGTCAGATTAAGTGCTTGGTGCTTTACATTAGTTCTTCTACTGAATTTTCTCCCTGTAAGGTTAGCATTATCATTTTCGGTTTTCTTTTTTATTCTGATACTGGGAACAAAATCCAGGGCCTCATGTATGCTGGGGGAACACCCTGCCACTGAGCTACGTCCAGACTCTTCTCATTTTTCTTTCTTTTAAAGAGAAAAACTGAGACCTGAGAGACTCATCACCAGTTTCTCTTAGGGTCTAAGTAGGAGAAATATTGGTTCTAATCCATGGAAACAAGACTGGTGTGCTTCACCTTCCAGCCAAGGGTGTGATTTGCTTATGTATGCTCTATTCTTACACAGAAACCTTATAACCCATAAGATTTAAGGCTGAAATTCCAAACCAGGCTGAGGGAGCACATGCCTTTAACACCAGCACTTGGGGGGCAGAGGCAGGCAGATCTCTGTGAGTTCAAGGTCAGCCTGGTCTACAGAGTTAGTTTGAGGACAGCCAGGGCTACACAAAGAAAACCAGCCTTTGTTTGTTTGTTTGTTTTCGAGATAGGGTTTCTTTGTATAACAGCCCTGGCTTGCCTGGAACTGTCTTTGTAGACCAGACTGGCCTCAAACTCCGAGAGATCTGCCTGCCTCTGCCTCTCAAGTGCTGGGATTAAAGGCGTGTGCCACCATCTCCCTGCTGGAGAAATCCTGTCATGAAAAAAAGTTTTCAACTCCATAAAATTCAAAGTGTCTGCTTTTTTAAATGACTACTCTAAAGATCTGCCCAGAAGAACTGCCCAAGAAGGAATATCTACTAGTCTTTAAGTAAGGAAGAAATTAATTCTTAAAAAATTGTATTATTTTTTGAGGCAGGGCCTCTTTACTATGTAGCCCTGAAACTCATTATATAGACCAAGCTGGCCTTGAACTCGTAGAGTTCCACCTGTCTCTGCTTTCCATGTCTGGCACAAAATTTAAAGCACTGAGATTTGAAGACTGCAACATAAAAAAAAAAAAAAAAACCCAGAGACAGATATTGGAGTTCAAGTTTCAAGCTGAAGATCTGAAAAGCAAAACAGCCGATCAAAACAGAGAGTGTTTACCTTGTAATCCTGAGTCCCAGGATTAAAGGTGTGTGCTGGCACTGCATAATTTCTATAGCTAACTAGTATGGCTGGCTTTGCAAACTGATCTCCAGTGGCTTTATTAGATCATAAATAACATATCACCACAGAAGACTGCTATAGCAGTTAGTATAAACCAACAAATATAAGATGAAAACACTTCCTTTGTTGACAAATAGAGATGTTCTAATTACATAAATGTTATCGAAACTGAAATGCCTTCAACAACTTTGACAAAAACTCTGGGAAGGAAATACTGTAAATGCTCATGGGTCTCTACTAAAGATGAATAGATTGCATCAGTAATGGGCTCTTTCTGTTCCATATGTGCAGCTATATGAGTATGTTGTATACTGGAAAACATGCTAGAGAATCTTTCCTTGGATCTTCCAGTACATTGTCTGAATAATAAGGTTTGTCCGTTGGGAGATGAGAACAACTTCCACATTTGCTGGGTCCAGATTCTGGTAGATTTAGCTCGAGTGTCTTCCAGTGGTGTAGGCTGAATTGTGTTGCACTGAAATGCATACACTCAATCCTTAATCTCCAGCACCTCACAGTATGGCTGCATTTAAATACATGGAGAGATGGCTCAGCGGTTAAGAGCACTGCCTGCTCTTCCAAAGGTACTGAGTTCAATTCCCAGCAATCACATGGTGGCTCATGACCATCTGTAAGGAGATTTAGTGCCCTCTTCTGGCCTGCAGGCATACATGCAGACAGAACACTGTATACATAACAAATAAGTAAATCTTTAAATAAATACATGGCTTTCAAAGAAGTATGGGAAGGTAAGACAAGGTCCTAGAAACAGGACTTCATCTCATATGTCTGGTGCCCTTATAAAGAGATCTAAACGTAGCCAGTGCAGACTAGGGAATGCCTATGCAAGGACCCAGACAGAAGGCAATCAAAAAGGGAGGGCCTCAGAAGAAACCAAACCTGCCAACACCGTAATTGTGGATTCCTAGCGTCTTAAGTCTATGAGAAAAAAAAAAAAAAAAAAAAATTGTGCTGTTTAAGCACCCCAGTCAGTAGCATTTTGTTAGCAAATGAATACACACTCAGTCCTTCAGTGTCAACACCCTGAGTAGTTCAACCTTCTAAGCCATCACAGCTGTCACTGGCATAGCACAGACGATGGCAGGGTTTTGGTATCCTAACCATTCTCAAAATTGGGAATACAGACATTCTGTTTTGTTAAATCCTCAGGCAAGCAGTCTCTGTTTGCCTCCCAGGAATCCATTTCCGGTAGACATTGCTGCTTGATTTTCTGAGCTGAGACAGATATCGACCTTGTCAGTTAAGCAGGAGTCTCCCCACTGAGCCTGTTGACTGTTTCAGTCTTGCCTGTTGCCGACAGTGTTAACAGGAAGGCTCTGCTAACAAGCCATAAATTCATCAAACGCCTTCTTCCCGAGAGAAAGAGGAGATGGTGATTTGATTTTTATAAATATTTTCATTCACTGTTACTCACCATACCAGACTGTCAAAAGCATGTCACCATTCTGTTCAGGGACATCTCTTTTTATTTCTTTTCAAGTAGCATGAAAGCCTTAAGAAGGCTGTTTCATTAATATTGGACTTCTCAGAGTTTTGCAAAAGCATTTTGTCTTCTTGTTCTATTTATTTGATAGAAATACAGGATCAAGTACTTATAAATAATGCCAATGATTTAAATAAAAAATGATGCTAGGACTTAGAATCCAATCCTGCTCATCTTCATAAAAATCAGAATGCATGAAATCAACAGAAATGAATACAGAATCACTTGGAAGTCCCCGGAGATGCATCACCGATATTCCTGTTACAAAGACTGTTATTGAAAAGGAACTTGCTTAAATGTAGCAAGCATTTTGAACAGAAATAATTTTACTGTAAGATAGAGAAGGAACTCTACTTGAATTACTCCTTGTGATGTTGATGAGGCTAGGCTAAAACAAAGCCAAATAGATGGCTTGTGCAATCCGAGGTTGCATGTTGCTAGCTTTTGAAATACCAAGAGCATTTGATTAAGTATCATTCCACTTCCACCACCACGGCCATTCTCACCAGAGCAGCTGGATAGAGTTGTGTTCTCACAAAGGCATCCTGACCCTGGTCGCACGCTTGACCTCTCCTCCCAGCCCTCTTTGCCAGCCCACCCACCCCTGTGGATCTCAACTCGTGCACTGCTTTCAGACATGCCCAGAATAAAGCTGAAATGGAATCCTGCCATAAATCAATGCCTATGAATGCCTACTATAAAATTCCTAATTTACATGCTATGTGGTGTGAGCTCTTTGGAAAGATGTGAAGGGGTGTAAAGCTATGCAAACACTAACCAGAAAGTGAAGATAGATGGGAAGGAAGCATCAGAAGTCAGCAAGCCCAGCACCAC